GTGGAAGAAAATTCAAAATTCAACCGAGTAATTTTTTCACTTGTCAGTTTCTTTAGTAATAGCAACAAGAAAGAAAAAAATAATTTTTAATATTTATTTTAAGACACTGGTATTTAAAACTTAAAAATGAATTTAGTGGGTATCCTTATATATTACGAGTCAAAAACTAAGTCTAAGAAATCAATAAAACACTGAAATTTTCAAGAAAGGTTGCAAAAGAAGTTTTTTTTTTTTTAGAATTACAATATTACACAAGGCATAAGAGATTCGTTATGGAAAATAACACATTGAATATTCAATATTTAGTAGGTTCTTCTCTAAACATACTATACGATAATGAATTGGAATGCTCAGCAGTTTTTAGAAACTATTATTAGCTATTATCTTCCATTTTTACTCTACAATCCTCTAAAGATGCCACAAGTTAGATGTTTTTTTACAATATAACTTCTTAATTAATGACACAATTTCTGATGAATTAATACTGGGACTTTGAGGTGACCATTTCATACTTCTACATCACCAACTCTTTCCAATTCTTCATTAACCCTATAGTTAGCAGAGCAGTATGTTTTTGCTGTTGGGGCATTGTTCATTCTTTATTATGCCATCACTTTTGGCAGCACCTCCCACTCCTGCAATAATAAAACAACACCCTCACCATGTTTTACTGCTCCCTTTACAAACACACTGCCTTAATTTCTCACGGTTTCGTCTTTTCACTTACATTTTTTATGGAATTTCAAAAAAAACAAAAACATTTTTTTTGTTACTTTAGCTTGTAATACATTCTCTTTATTCATCCAAATTTTATGATTCTTTGCAAAAATAAACACGTAACTTCGTCCTTATGTGAAATATTAAGCTTTCTGTCTGCAACTTTTCCGTGTAGATCATTTTCTTGCAAACGAATCCATTGATGGTTATAACTTTTGTACTTCCGAAGATATGTGAATAAATTTGATAATGAACTTCTTCGAGTGATGCCATATTTTCGCCTGTATGTTTATCTTGGGCACTTCTTCCATTTATTAATACTTAAAACTCCAGTTGAGCAAAATGCAATCACCAATATCTAGGACAAGCCCAAACGACTCTTAGAAAGTATCTGAAAAAACCACAAATCTTCTATTAAAACCGAGAAAGACATCTCTGTTGCCCAAAGCTTCAACTGGTTATTCCGTCAGTAATGTGATTCTCATAGGTATCGAAACTGCTTAAAACTAAAGCTGATAGAGAAATGAAAGAACCCCATTAGATTGCCACTTTGAATTTCTTTCAACATTATAGAATAAACCTATATCCCGAAAACAGTGATTTTCGACACTAGCTCCTTGTGTCGCCCCCCCTTCTAATGTATGGTGCAAATTCTTTATTTTTACCCCTAATCTTTCATAATGCTTATTTTAAAATAATTCTCCGTATTTATTTTATATATTTTTAGTTCTATCTATTTAATAATTCCAATGTTGGTTCAATTTCATAAACAGTATTTGAAGATGAATCATGTGCTTGCGGCGAGGCATTTTCCTAGATAAGTTCATACGTGTTCAATCAGGTTCCAATTCAGTGGGCATGCTGGCCATTCCATTCAGTTGATACTTTTCTTCGAGGAAGTTACTAAACACTTGAGCATGGTGGAAGTGCGCGTTATTTTCCATAAGAAAACTTCTAACCAACTGCATCTGTATATAGGAACTCTAATAAAACTACATCCCTATATCATACAGCATATATAGTGCTATGTCATTGGCAAACAAGGTCAGTGTGAAATAAAATACTTGTCTGGCCTCAAAATTGTATGCCATCACATTTATATGTTTCTCTTTCATTGTGACACTTGGATTGGATCTGGTCCCATGCATTCTCCAAATCTGTACATTTCTTGTAGCTAGTTGCAATTTGAAGCGAGATTCATCTGTAACAAGAAATTTGCTTACATGTTATTTGACTAATCCACGCTGTTGACACAACTGAAAAAAAAAGGGGTGTTTTGTGACAAAAAGTTAAGGGAATAACATCTGGCAAAAAGACCAACTTTTATGAGACTTGTCTCAGACCATTTATATGCTGATTTGTCATCCAGGTTCTGCTCTGAATTATTGGTTCAGTTGAGAGCTGAGGTCCACTGGTTGCTTTGAGCCCAAACGGTGGTCTGCTTGTGTGCCTGTTCTCAATGATCTACCCAGGTGAGGTCTCAAGCCAACTGAATTGGTGATTTGAAAGAAGTAAAACTTTGTGAGGCTTATAACTATTCTGTAATGACTTATTCTAGTCAATCTACTACCACTAACATCATAGATGATATGAGATTGTCCAAAATCAATTCTCTCTCTCTCCAAAGTAGAGAAACAAGAGTAAGCTAAAATAATTGATCTGGCAATGATGGAAGTGAAAATAGAGAAGGAAATTATAGACTGCCATATAATAGCGTTGCCTAAATCTTTTGAAGACCTTCAACTAAAGGGATACAGATTAATAGCAATATGAAATGAATCGGTAAAGCTTAGTAAAATTAAAGTAGCAAAAAGACTTGCGGGAGAGCTGTAAGATTGAGAATTCCCTTCCCTCCTTGGTAGGCAGACAATGACCACAGAGATCCATAACCTCAAGTTTCAAGGCAGTCACACACAGCATCCAGCAATATACACAGGTATCAGATTACTGTGCTGTTGGGTAATTACATCTTAAAGATGCTTACAGTTAAGCAGATAGTAGAATTTGGCAACAAAGCTAAAGGCTCTGATATTCCCATATAATTGGCTGTGCAAGACACCAGTTACAATAAGTTGAAATTGGGTAAATTGAGATTTGAAATTTTTAAACTTATCACAAGGATCCCTGCTAAGTCCTGACCAGTTTAATGTACACACAACTGAAATGGTTAGTGCACACTGGAAAGCCTTTGAGTGGATACCATATACATATGTTGATGATATAATTGCTCATACACACCAATGGAGGTGTTGGAGGGTCTGCAAGAAACCAGCAAAAATTTCTGTCAGTGGAATATTAATAATAAAATGTCTATCTAATAATATAAAGCTTTTTGGATGTTCACTACCAGATTTCACACAGATAACTATCTCTTCACACTAATATATTCAGAAAGAAGAGTTTCATATAAGAACACTGTCAATTATGTGGGTGAGGCGATCAATATATGCAGACACACACATTCTACACATACTGATTACCTGAGAGAGAAATCACTAAAATCTTATCCTTCTCAAATATGCTACAACCCAGAAAGTGTAGCAAAGAAGCCTCAATAATCTGATGAGAGCAACAGTCACGACCAGAATGAAATAAGGAATCTACTTGTGTGCATCAGTAGCAATTACCAAGTTACAAAGGGTTTACAATGCAGTCATGAGAAGAGCAACAGAAGCAGCCAATACCCTGCATTTCTGGCTTGGTTTGAGCAGCATTACTACAAGATAAATGATTCTAGTGAGCCAAGTGTTACTCAGAGCAACAGAAGCAGCTAAAACCCTGCACTTCTGGCTTGGTTTGAGCAGCATTACTACAAGACAAATGATTCTAGTGAGCCAAGTGTTACTCAGAGCAACTCAAACTATGTTATTCACTATATTGGTTATCAGCACTTGAGAGATAGGGCAGACAAAGCAGTAATACAGAGATTAAAATTAGTCATGTCATGGGTCAATTGGGGCAAGAATAATGCAGAGGAGAAACATTCATTGGAAACATCAAGATTACCGAGTGACTCCAGGTATGTGGCATTAAGTTAAACAATGAAAATTAGCAGCATAATGTGGAGAGAAAGATCAGAACTGGTCGACTCAGCTGAAGTCATGATATGTATGAACAGAGACTGACATTTATCACAGCAATGGATAGCTTAGTCAAGAAAAACATGACTACTTGGTCAGGAGCCATGTAGAGAGATGGACATATAGCATCGGAGTGGTTAATGGTAACACTAGGAATTTAAATAATTCTGAACAAAGTGCAATGCATAAGAACATAAACTTGTCTGGCTGACCAGCAATGGTAATGATCATAGCAAGATCATACTCCTGACATTCACTAAACCTTATCACAAAATTGAAAAGATGTTTTGTCTGAAGAATATGAGCAAAAACTTTGAAAGACTTATCTGATAATGACCTATATTTCTGGCCACAGTGGCATATCATTAACAAGAAAGCAGACCACTCAGCTGGGAAGGTATAGCTCCTAGGGAACCTGGTAAGATTTCAGTATGATGTCATCAATGAAATAACATCTAGACTAAGAGAACAAAGGTCACACTGGTCAACTGAAGAGGGTGTAAATATGGAAAAGAAATAAGTGCAAAAGCATACTACTAGAAGAACCTTGAGGAGATTATTAGGAGAGGAGAGCCTGTGGCAAAGCAGATTTCAAAATTATCTAGCATAAAATGGTAGTAGAAAATCACCTATACATTTTAACAAGAAAAGGTATACTCAACAATAATGATAAGATATAAAGTAAAAGTGTTTGTTGCCAGCCAGTTGTCTTCCTGTGGTTGGTGATTCTGAATTAAGGATGGTACCTGGAACTGTGCACTGTCAAATGTACTGAACAGGACTCCATAACTGAATGGAGGAGAGCCTGTACTAAACTTCTACAGTGTATAAATAAATAGTATGGACTCAGAAGTGTTGCCATTGATGTTATTCAATAATTACAGATGCACCTTGTCATAGCTAGAATATAAAAAATCTTATTATCTCTCAGTTATTTAGTATAGATCGAAACTACAAATCTCAGCTGGTTGTGGTACAAGCTTAATGTTTGAGAGCTAGTCAAGAGTTATTGGGTAATAGGTTTGATTACACCTAAGAAGAAAATTATAATACTTGGATTAGCACTACCACGTGGCTAAAGTATCTAAACAAAATTATAGTAAAAATATAGAATGTCTGAAGTATGATATTGTGGATTATTATGGTTCATCCACAGCACTCAAATGTCTCATGCTGAAAATGACAAAACTTAACTATGCCAAATGTTGTACCAACTATGATTTATTAAAATACATCAATTACAGTTGATATTACAATCTTCTGAACTCTGCATCAATCTACATCCAGCATAACAAGTGGCACATACAGCAAGTGTCAGGAAAATCTTACAAGCCTCTATGAAGATTGATGATGTGAATAAATAGGCCACAGTAGGAGTTAGACTTAAGCTGATAAAAATTTCTCTCTCTTTTGGTTGAAAGAGAATGAACATTAGGGAAATAAAAGGTCACTTTTATTGTACACAGTTGGGAATATAACAATGAGCTGTACACATATCATCACCACAAAAGAAAAAGAGAAATATACCAAAATCTAATTTGTCTAGCTACTTACTTTTTTTTTCCAACCATACAGTCACAAGTCTATTACTAAATCTAACGAGTTCATTCCAATTTGCTCTTTCTGAAAACTCACAGCTCTGTTCAAACTAAAACGTTTACAAAAACAAGATTAACTAGTTTTTACTTTTAAAAAAAATCACAAAAAGAGAATCTAAATAAAAATTCATAAAGCAAAAGCTTCTGTCAGGATACAAAAGAATGGACATTTAACATAGTCTTTTGATATTGAAAATTAAAAACAAATTTAATTAATTAAGATATAAGAAGGATACTAAATGAATAAATCCATTCACTGACTGTTAGAGTTGTTTTATTTCTTTTGGCCTGTCAGGTTCCTCTAATAGAGGGGAATAATTAATTACATAATTTAATCACATTTAATTTAATTAAAAGAAAAACCACTAACATTAAACAAAAAAAAGATCTAATAATAATGTTTTTGTAAGGAGCTTGGAAATGTAGTTGCAAAATAATAAGTTTTATTTATATCCTTCTCCCTAAGTTTTTTATTTATCTGGAAATATTGAAGACATCAAGAGCGAGGTATTCCTGTAACTTAATTGGATTAATGATTTTTTCACAACAAAATTTTAAACCCAGTAATTGCAAGTTCAACATAATTACATAGTTCATTTTCATTACAAAACACCTGCACCAATTATTTCTAGAATTAGAATTCTGTAAGAATGATTATTAGCTCCTTATAATCTAAATGGTTAATTTTTTTTCTGAAATATTATATTCACATTGCAAATCTGACCATTGTAAGAATTTGTGAAAAATAAATTAACTGTTTCAGTAAGTGTTTTAGAATACTCAGCTGTTAAACAAGCAGCAAATGAAACAGAGCAAAACTGTTAAATCCAATATAATTCTGTAAAGGGTTAAAATAATAAGAATCACTACAAATTTAGTAGAAGAATCACTGATCAGATATAAAATAACTATTTTATATCTGTATTGGGCATGTAATGTTTTTGGTAAAAATACACAATATTGAGGAGCACCTGAAGCTGCTAAACACAGATGCTTTGAAGATTACTGCACTTTCCAAATGAGGTGAAACATTAAATTCTAAAAACTAGCAACTCAGCATTATTTTTTAGGAATAACGTATTCACATTTAATACGTTTATCCAGCAATACTTCATTGCACATTGATAAAAACACTCATAAGAGAGAAATATCTAAGTTTCACAACTATATTAAAATATCCGAGACAAAATCTGAAACAAAAAAAATGAAGTTGCACTGCATTAATTTTTACCTATTCATATTTTAACGTCACCTTTGTAATTGTAATACAATTGAAAAATATTTTAATAACATAAACTGATGATGATACATATTGCAATATTTTAATGTTTAACATAAAAAGAAAAATTTCCTGCTAATTTTATAAGCATTTTGAAGAAAACTGATTGATGGATAACATTAAAAATGGCCCAAATTATTTTAGAAAAATATTATTCCCTAGGCAAAAAGTTACAGCTGGACAACACAGACAACTCCAGTTCTTGGAGTACCACAGTAATTTACTATCGTTGCATGACCAATTGTGTATTTATCTGTGCATAAAATATATTGTCACTCAATTATAAACAAGCTGCAAATTAAGTCTTGGAAATCTTGATTTTACATAAATTTCAATACAGTTACCATGAAAAGTCATTTAAACAACACCAAGTGGAAATTTTTGTCTCACACAGAGTGTGTGACACCAGATGTTTTTGACAGTCAAATCTCATTCATTTAATTTGTGATAACCCATAGTCTCTACAAGAAATAGTGTTTTGGACAGTCATAGTTTCACATTAAAACCAGTTCACAAGTAAAAGTAAAGATTTCAGTTACACGAGTCAATAGCTGGAGGAAGAGACAGTGAGAGAACAAAAATGTCTTACAGAAAACAATTTTAACTGGATGGTTGTATTTACTCTAAAAAGTGCAAAATACAACAGGAATGGTTCACAATATCTAAGAGATGTAATACATGTGACTCCTGTAGGAAGCAGATGGGGTATAGCATCAAATTACAGAGATACATGTGCCTCTTACTGTGCCATATCTCAACATGAACACAATTTCAATACAACAATGTCCAAAGTTAGTGTTAAAACCTATTCAAAACTTTCTGGAGGTTAAGAAGATGCTTGTTTCACTGAAGACAACAAGGCCTATGTCCATTCTTCATTTTCAATCGTGACTTAGGACGGTACTTTTCCAGGTAGGAGAGTTGTTTAGAGTTAATAGCTCCTCGCCGTTTTCTAAAGAAGAAAAAACAAAAACAAGCTAATCAGAAACTGCATGTAATTAATCACCAATAAATAGTTTGGTTTGCTATAATAATTTGTAATATGCAGTTTTATTCTCACAAGGTTAACCTTTCACTTGATTCCTAAATTGATTTTTGAACAAATAATTACTAACCCAGATATCATTAAATAGTTTCTCTCAAGTTGAATTACGTGGCTCACTCCAAATTAAAATAATCTTATACATCTATTATTAGATTATAATTCTAGCTTGTGAAACTCTGCACTAAAAAGCATCGATTACTTTGCAAAAGTTTTTATTCCACAATAAATTCAAATATGCTACTGTAATTTTCAGTGTGTTAAAGCAATATTCTTAAAATTTTCTCAAATACTCTAGGTTTTAGCTTTCTTGTATATTGATGTATGAAATCATGTCAACATGTTATACAGAATTAGATTCATTGACTTATAATTTACTTTTTAGTTCTGAAGTTAATTAAGTAACATGATAACTAATCTTGAAAATGATACAACTGATCAAAAACGAGAATTCCTTCACATGTTTAACTAAGTTCGAAATTGAGATTTATTACCTTTTACAGTATTCAAAGCATCAAAAAAGTTACAACTTATATTTTTCTTTTTTTTAAAGTGAGTTTGGAGTTGAGATTATTAGTTTGTGAAATGTATAAATGAGACATATCAGTCATAAGTATGACCTGCAAAATCAGTGTAGCATAATACATTATTGTATATTTAGGGGTATCTAGGTGAAGTTTATTATTTAATATTGTTTTTAAAATACTTACATGATACTTTTAGAAATATTTTCTACTGTTTTTTACCTTTTTATTTATTTTTCTATTATTCTCTTTTTCATGTATTTATGAAGAGTTTCTGCATTAAAAAAAAGTGTTAAGTGGTTGATTGCTTGTCAAGTGCACCATTTTATGAAGAAACAATAGAAAAACATTACTGGACTGATTTATTAACAATAATAACAGACTTAATGCTAATGTATGAACAGTACTACAGATTTACAATCTAATTCGTAACCACCTGATGCAACAATACATGCTACTTACTGCCTAATGTGCTCAACAGCATCTTCATACATCATGCCCAGTTCTATTAGTGCTAAAGCCACTAGTACTGGTGCCCTGCAAAATAAGGTTTAGTTTAAATAAAATATTGTTACTGACAACAACACTAAGGATATACAAACATATTCTGCAAAACAGTTAAACTGAACAACTAAAGTACTTTATTGCCTATGTAACTTGAAGAAACTATACAACTGCTACTGCTGAGGCCAGAAAAAAACCTGTTACCCTTTAAAACAGCATTTAAATTATTTTAATTACACTAAAGTTGAATAGTCACAAAAGGTGGTATCTTATGAAAGAACACTTAAATAATTTGTTACCTAACTTATTCCTGAAGAAACATGCAGTAGCTTTCAACCAGTTCATAAGTGAGGTTTGAAAGCTTAATAATTTGAGTTGTAAATATTATGAATGCAAATAATAATTACCACATCATTCATTATAAACCCATCAAAGAAACTGAAAAGTATAATTGATTAGCTTGTACTGAAACATCAATACAGTACCACTCTGTCATAGATGTTTTTGACCATTCCATCAGTATATTTAAAGTTGTATGGCCATTTAAGTGATAAAGGATGAGCCTATCTATATAAACCAAGCTAACAATAGTTATCTTTCTTTGCCAAAAATGTATGTTAGGTACATACTCAGCTCTCTACAAAACAGACAGCTAATACCTCATACCATTGCCATAAAGGTCTCGTGCATATGCCAAGCCTTTCAACAAAATGCCCACCCAATACATAACAATGTGTACTACCACAGTCTATAATGCAACCAGCTTTAGACTATAGCCCTTTACCAACAGGAAGGTTAAACATCCTCCAAGTGCATTACTCCTCTTGAGTACTTTGTATATACCAGAACCTCATTCATGATGTGGAAAAACAGACATTCCAAACGTGGTGAGGAAGGGTGGGTGGTTCTTTGGAGAACAGACAGCTAGAACACCACATAAAGAGAATGGTGGTGGTGGTGGGTCTTGTGTAGATAAAAAGAAATTAAGAAGGAATAAATCATTTATGAGAATAAGGTGACAGAAAAGGAAAGCTCAAAGAATGTGTCATTGACTAGTGTGTGTGTGTGTGTGTGTGTAACTAGTAGGAACATCACTTGGTGGGAGACAACATCCATTTTAAGCAGGGAATACACTTCATCCAATACAACTGGTAGAAAAACACTGTCCAAAAGAATCTCCTCCATGGTGATAAACTGTTGCAAAGGTAGTTAGATTGTAGAAGCTGATCAACTGCCTGAATACATCAAGGGTTTGACAGACCATGTATGTGTAGTTGTGCCTAAGGCAGTAATTCAAGCCGTACATACAGTATTTGAGATATATTTATGTGATATACTTAACAGAATTAGCAGGTGCAGGGATGAATCATCCCAGACCTTCATCTCAAGGAGAGTGCAATTCTCATCCATGTGGTTACAATCACTAGGAATGGTATAGCTTTTGGTGTAATGGGCAGCCTGTATTACAGTTTCACATAGATACCCCTGCCATGTTTGTGATCAATGGGTGCTTCCACTCAATCTCATACCAGCAGATTTACACCAACCCAAAGGAGAATTCTATGAAGACCTCAATGATGGCTTGGTACTGGGAAGCAAGATTTTCTCCTACTCTACTAGAAGAAGTGCATGAACTAAAAAACGAACTATCTAGCAACTGCATAAGGTTCAACAATGAAGGACTGTTGAATGAGGTACTGCAAACTGGGACAGCCAAAGCTGTCAAAGTGTAAGGACAAGTAAATTAATGCAACTGCCAAAGTTAATATTTTCCTAAACTGAAAATATATTTTTGCTAGATACTTACCTTCGCTATAAAAACAAAACAAAATGCGCACAAAAGTTTTGTCCACCACTAGCCTTTGTACTCCCACTAATTTCCATGTGGTACAGCTGCATTGTAGCATGCAAATAAGCATGCAATAACCTTCCATCAATAGGAGTGTGGCACACTCTCCTAACACAGCTGACTCCCTCTATGCAGTAGAACCCAATCTTCACTTCGAGATTAGGCATGAAAAAACACACTGAAGGTAAGTATCTATCATAAATATATTTTTAGTTTAGGAAAATGTTAACTTCTGATATGATAACTTACCTCTTCTCACAAAACAGATAGAATCACACAAGGATGTAGTGCAGTTGTGAATATTTTGAGGAATGGCTCAGAAATGGTGTTTGGAAGACCTACGCATGGATGTAATGTTGGATATAATACTAGAAGAGGAAGATTATGTTCTAGATCAAGGAACCAATGTTGCAGTTTCGTCAGATAAACTTAAGTGATTAGCTTTGCCCGGAATGCAAAGATTCAATCAAGGCTGTCATCAACTTCAACAAAGATATCAAATATGTTAAATCTCAGGCACATCTGAATGAGATAAAATGTAGCACTTTGAGAGAAAACTAAAATGAAGATTTTTGTTGAGTGTCAGTGTTGGACCAGAAAAACATCAGGAAACTATGTGAGATATTCTGAGTTATTCCTCCAGTCCATGCTCAGTGTCCATCAAGTGGGAATAGAGTTCCAAAACAAAACCTGATCAAATGACTTAAGAAGCTCACAGATATTATATATATAAAATAAAAACATCTTTTTAACTTTTGATATCTTTAATCTTTTGCTTCACCTGCGTGTTTGAAATTCTGCATGATGGTAGTTTTTTTTGTAATGTTAGAGTATAATAAACTAAAAGACTTATAACAACTGATATACAAATAATATTTACAGCGCTTATTTATGTTTGTCACTACAGAATTCAAAGACTGAAGAATGGTTCTCTGAATTCTTCTATTAAACACTAGAGTTTAATTCACTATACATGGAAATTACCTTCTGTGTCTCTAAAAACTTTTTATACCTGCCTACTCACATCCTATAGGGCAAGGTCAATAAAGTAGGCTTAATTTACATTTCCTGATGCAAGCAATTCATCTTTACAGTTTTAATTACATTTAGGTAAACACAATTTAGAACATAGATATTTGTGTATGCAGCAGTTTATACTTGTAACTAGGAGGTAGAATGTCTAAAAAATGTGAATAAAATTATATAATGCTATACATAAACTGAACATTAATTAGATGATAACTGATACAAAAATAAAGTATTCTGAATTTTTATGCAGACTCCCAAGACAGTAAGAAACATCCAAATACAGTATTTACAGTTTTAGCTACATGCTCTTCATTGCATGTTTTATCATTACAGATTTCATAATTGGTTGCTGATGCCATGTTTGGGAACACAAAATATGTTTCACTATTGAAGAACAAGATGTAGTGACTTTTTCATTAAAAAAAATTCTCCTACCTTTGCCAATGTCAGTCTAAGTTTTATTTTTTTTTTATGACTTCTGGTTGTTTGTTCTGTATTACTTGAAACTGTTTTAAGGGTTATTTCTTCATTTCTTTCACCTCAACTATGGTAGGTGTGAGCATTGGGCTTAAGTTCTATAATTAACATTTCATATGATGCTGTGACTAGAGTGGGTTCCTTGTTTCATCTAGACCTTTTATCTTTAAGTAACTGTAACCTTCTCATATTTGAAACCTGTATATTTCTGTTTTTATTACATATCTTTTTAGAATGACTGATGGGCCTTTGTGGCAAGCCAATTGATTTCAAAGTTTGATGGAACTATTGCAGTCTCAGTTGATAATTCAGAACAGCTCCACAGCATTAGTAGTTTTAAGAACTACATTAAGGTTTACTAATCTACTTACCACTTTGTAAGCTACCAAAGAATCTGGTTCACAAGTTTGATGGTATTATCTGCTTTCCCATTTGCTAATAACTATGTTTCATCACTACTGTGTAAATGTGTCATGCAGACCTTAGATTCAAATGCAGTTGTCTCTGAAGAGAATCAATCAATCCACTATTTCCTCTCTTAGCTCCCTAACTGACATATAGCAGCAGAAAGCCACCACAGTAACAGATCTTGGTACTGAATATGTCAATGCTATAACATATTCTTACCTTCCTAAACCAGCTACACAGTGAACAGCTACACATCCTTCTGGGTCATCTTTGAATCTTGTCTTCAATAAATCAAACCAGTCTTCCACTATCTTACCTGGTGGAGGTGAGCCATCATCAAATGGCCAATCCTACAAGGATAAAGTAAACACCAATTCATCTACTTCAGAGTCATAAACAGAAAATGAAAATATTAAAACCAATTACTACTTAACTAGGAGTAAATAATGAAAATATGATATATATATTATAATTAAAATAAGTTTAATATTACACACTTTTATTTGAGCCGAAAGCTTCAATGGTAAATTTTATCTTAGATATTCAATGGTCAGCTATTTTCTTGCAATTTTATCAACTAAACTTTACAGAGTTTCCTACTGTAAGCTTGTAAGATTAATTCCAAAACACACATTACCTTTAGTGCTTAGTGTGTTATACAGAAATCAGGTAAATGACCACATACATCAACCTTGCAAGAAGATTGTTTAAAAAAATTTATGATGGTTTATAAACTGAGTATTTTTAGTACATTCAATTTTTCAACAATTCATACCCAATGATTTCTAACATTTTGCAACATCATACTGTTGAATGAATTTAAAAATAAAAAAAACCTTGTAAGTATGTCAGTCTATTACCCTTTGAGAGGGTCTTCATCTTTCTTTGTTTTTGTGACAGTTGAATAGATAACTATCACAGAAGGTACATGGGAGAAAACATTTCTGTGATATCAGAAAAAGAGAAAACACTACATTTTTTTAATGTAGTTGTAAAAAACAATGTTTATGCACTGATTATCTTTAAACTGACTTGAAAATGTCTTGTAAAGACTTTGATAAATGAATTAATGAATCAATTTTCATTTATTTATTTGAATATGTCCACCTCTATTACTCCTACAGTTGAGTTGCACATAACATCTCCAATAGCCTATGCTAGTGAACATTCACAATTTTGCCAACTACAGTAAATAAATGTATCACTTAACCTAGATACTCTGTACATCTATTGGTTTGAAATACTTCAGTAACTCTGGAAATAGAGAACAAGTTTTTTTATTGTAAAACATTTGACAAAAAATATTTTTTTTCCAGTTTTCTGGTTGCCAGTAGAAAAATGCATGTTACCAATGGAAAACAGACTTCTGTGAGGCTGATATACAGTAGCTTTATACATAAAGTTTATCTACCTGGTGTCTTGATATAGCAAGTTTGTTTGATGAAATCTGGTAGAGGAACTCAGATAAGCCCCTTTCAGATTGAATCTAAATGACTTAATTGGACAAACAGTTTAAGTTTACAACCATTCATTTCAATTTTTGGTACACAAAACTGATGCCACATAAAAGTGTTCAGCAGACCTGCATGGCAAATGACTCACACACACCACCCACATATCCCCATAAAGCCAATGAAATAAATGCCACATCCACATAACTATGGTGTTATATTAAGCAACAGTGATTTAATTAGAACATTAAAATGGAATTTACACTAACAGTAACTAGAGAAAAATGTAACAAGATCAAATCTGTTCCATGTGTGTATGCATATATACACACATGGAACAGATTTTATCTTGATTGTTGTGCTGAGAGCAAAGAACTTTGGAAACTTTGCATTTTCTAAGTATATGTCACTTTGAAAATGGTACACTACAGACTCAGTGGCATGTTTACCATTTTGACCAATATTTTACCAATACAAACAACATATATTTCTGACATGTATGTTTTAAATAATAAACATTAGTACTTAAGTTTTACTTATGACCAATCACAGGCCCAGAAGTATGGTAAGCAGTTGAGGTGCCAGCCACACTGATTGTGACCAAGTATATGACTATTTTAAAATTTCCTTGTGATGTTTATGGCTCATTATTGTAAGTTTATGCATAAACAACTGAACAACTCAAAGTCTACTATA